ATCTAAATCTTTTGAGAAGATTTCCATTTTAAGTATACAATCATAACCATACTACTAGCCTAATACTAATATTAATTCTAACATTAATCCTAATCCTAGATTAATCCTAATCGTTTCATTAATCCTAATACTCACATTAATCCTAATCCATTCATTAATCCTAATCCTTTCATTAATCCTAATCCTTTCATTAATCCTAATACTAACATTAATCCTAATACTAACATTAATCCTAATCTTAACATTAATCCTAATCCTAACATATAGTGTTATTCTTTAATTAAATCAAATTCAAAATACGAAATTTCGGCACACTCCCAACCGCGCAAACAAAAACAATAGAAGAGGACTGGAACTGACGTCCAAAGCTCTCTTCAATTTCCGCCATCTTGGTTTCACTTTTTGAACTCGAGTTCTCACTCCAGATATATATATATATAGAGGTCAGTGGATGAAACGACGATGACAGTTGATGAGAGTTGAAACTCTCACTCGTTTTTGATCGTCAACTTTCATCGACTCTCCTGTACTCTCATGAACGCTCAGGTCAAGTGAAAAATACCTGGGTTTCCGGTCACCTGACGTACCTATTTTTTGACCACTAATGTCACTGACCGTAGTCTTTTTCTCTGAAATTTGCGAAGAATTTGGAGCAATTGCGGTGCCCACACGAAGTTTGCCATCGCTTTATTTTCGCTGCGTGAGTTTGTTACTATATCTGGTTTTTCGTACCTATACCTAAGTTTTTGGAACAAGAAAGAGGAAACCCAAGATACGCGTTGATAGTGGATACACGCGCTGTGTTGCTAGAAAGTGCCTGTGTATTTCACCTTTTCGAAAACGCGAGATAACTGCACAAGACAGCAGATGATATTGAGATTGCGGCAATATGCAGTGTTGTGATTCTAATTTTGCCTCTGTTGCCGCACGTAAGAATTGGAATTATACAAAGAACATGATCTAGTTCTCATAGCACGTAATATCTAATTAAACAACTGTTTTAGAAGTAAGTTTGCAGTTTTGGAAGACAATTTGAGAGCGGCTCGAGACATAGAAATGAAAGTTTGTTTTCATAATATATTTTAATTATACACTAAACGGGTGCTCCAAGCGCTAAGCACGACTTTGCCACAAAGTAAAGCATATATGAAAATAGTGTCTTAAACTAAGACTATAGTGGTTAAAAAAGCTATAATGGTCTAACTTTATTTTTACTTGATAACTCTATCAGTTCTAATCTGTTAGTACTGTTCTCCCTACAGGACGATTTTACAATTATAGCCATTTCATGTTGGTTCAGTATTCCTAACAGGGGAAACCTACATTATTTTAATTTTGTATAAATCTCTATATCAGTTCTAATCTGTTACAGTTAGGACCATTCATTATTGCTCCAGTGCAGTTGTAAAGCACCTTGAGTCAAACAAACTTAATTTATGCCGATGAAGAACAAATTTTGACAAAGAGGCGGTCCAAGTTTCTTCTCAAGTAGTTGCACCTTTAAACCTGCACGCTCGTCATAACATTATTCTACATCAGTTCTAAACTGTTCCTCCCAATCCATCGTTGGTGCACCAATAAAGAGCACGCGTTAATGGAATAATGGTCCAGTTTTACTAAATTATTAAAAACTACTCGGAGAAATTTTGCGGTCTCTGAAACTTTTTATTTAAAATGAAATATAAAGAGTGGATACACGCGCTGTGTTGCTAGAAAGTGCCTGTGTATTTCACCTTTTCGAAAACGCGAGATAACTGCACAAGACAGCAGATGATATTGAGATTGCTGCAATATGCAGTGTTGTGATTCTAATTTTGCCTCTGTTGCTGCACGTAAGAATTGGAATTATACAAAGAACATGATCTAGTTCTCATAACACATAATATCTAGTTAAACAACTGTTTCAGAAGTTATTAGTTTGCAGTTTTGGAACGGGTCGAGACATAGAAATGAAAGTTTGTTTTCATAATATATTTTAATTATACACTAAACCGGTGACCCAAGCGCTAAGCACGTTTCCCTTTGCCACAAAGTGGAGCATATATGAAAATCGCGTGTCTTAAACGTTCTTAAACTAAGGCTTATCTAAATTTATTTATACTTAATTTGATAGCTCGGTCAGTTCTAAACTGCTAGTACTATTCCTCCCTAGAGGACGATGTTACAATTATAGCCAAATCATGTTCATTCTAATTTTGTATAAATACTTGCAAGCTCTGAAGTTTCTTCTCAAGTAGTTGCACCTTTAAACCACGCTCGTCATAACATTATTCTACATCACTCTTCAGTTCTAAACTGTTCCTCCCAGTCCATCATTGGTGGCCCAATAAAGAGCAATCATTAATGGAATGAGTACTCGGAAGAAATTTTGCGGCCTTTGAAATTTTCACTTTAAAATGAAAGAATATTTCCGTTATCTCGTATTATATAGGCAGCTGCCATCTGTTGCCATCTTGCAGTTATATACATGTTTTACTGTCGTCACATTTTATTTAAGTCTTTGTTTTCTTTTATGCTCGTTCATCTTTCAAAGCCAAATCTATTTTCCTCTGTTTTTCGTTTCCCAACTATTTTCTTCTTTCTTGAGTATCGTCAGACTAGGTTTGGGACTCTGCGACATAGTTTCATGCCTTTAATAACTTTCATTCCCTCGGTGCGTAAAATCTTGTTCTTCCAATAAAAGATTAAGCAGTTAAATGTTGAATTCATCGAGGCTATGGTTGAAGCCCAAAATCCTGGAAGGATTGCGTTGTCCAAAGTAAATTCTTTTTTTGTCAAGGTTATGGTCAGTCCAATGTAGACGAACGCTGGAATGTTTAGCACGACAAAACATACGACTGCCAGCAAGCAACTCGATATAGTTTTCGGAAGAAACGTCTTTTTCATCTCGGGCGATATTCCGTTGTTTCTACGACTTTTCCTGGCGATTGTAAACAACTTGTAGTTGATGAACAACATTGGGAGAAAGATAATGATAATAGATATCAGAAGACCAACTTCAAAGGGAATAACAAAATCGGTAAAAGATAGCAGCACCATCGTTATTCCCATGGTAATCAGTATTGCAAGAAGAGTTAAAAGTCTTCCCTTCGTGACCGATCTTCGATGAATAATAGGATAATATGTCGCCAAATATCGATTAAGATTCATCACGAAGAGAGCGAGTAAAGAAAAGCCAACGAAAACAGCTGAGAACCTTGAGGAAATAATCACCCAGTCAGTGACTACATCCAACTTTCCAGTCAGGAATAACATGGCATTTAGAGCCATCAGTGGATGACTAGTTAAAACCGCAACCAAATCGCAACAAGACAAAACCATTATCATGAAATGACATAATTTCTTTCGAAGTTGTACAGACCTCTGGAAGCTGAATATGACCAAGGAATTTAAACATATTTCTGAGAAAAAGAACAATACATTCACAGCAAATATGAATATCAGGTTGATAAAATGAAAGAACTCCATCGTGCGTGTGCTGAATTGCCCTCTTCTTCTGAAAAACTGAACATAACAAGTATATAGGCAGCAGGTGATATGCTTAGAGTGACATTTCTGAAGTACATATATGATATAATTATACATATAGTTCATAACAATGAGAACTCTTCATGGATATTTTATTAAAACTAAACATTGTCTTTTTTACATGTTGATGTGTATAAGACTTTATAAGACGTACATTGAAGTGGCCTCCTACACTTCTTTTCAAATGTAGAACATTTATGGTTTGGTCTTGCATGTAAATTGTTTGGCGGAATTTCCATTTTAAGTATACAATCCTTAAAAGACTTTCGACGACTCCAAGTCGTCGTCTAACATCGTCAACATGATCTCTTGACTCTCTTCATTTTTATGATGTATATATATCATCATACGGTCATGCTTAATAGATCTATGATGTATATCATCATTAGGTGTTCATTTTGTATATAATTAGCCTTTAATAATAATATAATATAATATAATGAATTTGTCACTTTATACACGATACAAACTAATTAATTAAAGACAAATAAAGACAGATACAAATCGTGACAGGGGAAAGGAACAGGACTCTCGTCCCAATTGACACCTAACCCCTAAAAAGACGTTAAATATAAATAAAGATAAAGAACAGGTTATAACACATTAGTTATAACAACTTATACTAGCTAAGGTTTGAATCGTGACTATAAAAGTACTAAACGTTTACACACTGCGACTTGCCCACTATGCAGATTACTATTATGAATTATTCAAAATCAATTTGGAAATCACGAGTCAATTTATAACATATTTGTAAATATGATGAGAATGGCCGGATGATGGTTCAACAAATCGCAATGTGTAGACGTTGATCACGCAGTGCCCGGAGGTACGTAATGCGATAACTTAGTAGAATACAACTTATGAAGATGAGACTTGAAATTACTTAAAGAATTGGAGGATTTGACAAGAGACGGTAGAGTGTTCCATAGTTCAACCGTTCTAATGAAAAAAGAATTTCTAAAATAGTCTTGCTTGTGTTTAATTATAAGATTATAGTTGTTTTTATCATAATTTCTTGATTGGTATCCAGGTTCAAAAGTACATATATATTTGTTCACATCAGTAGTAATTGCTCCAGTTCTAGATTTAAAAAGTAGGCATAAGTCTGAGATATCTCTTCTGAACTCAAGAGGGAGAATCTTGATCTTCGCGAGTCTGCCGGCATGACACTGTCACTGACACTGTCACATGACACTGTCATCATCTGACACGGCATGAGCCTTTCTCACGATGACGAATATCCGCCTTTTTTGGGTGGCATCTAATTCTCGTTAACCAATGCAGACAATTAAAACAATGTGAAAAGCAATTTTACAAAATAAACTAACCATTTACAAAGCAAATTTACCATCATTCGTCCAAAAAATTATAAAAAGTCGCTGATATGTGGACTTATCTCCCATACTTCGGCTGAAAAGCCACCCAAAAATGGCGGCGTGAGAAAGGCTAATTCGTGCACTTTTTCTGTTTCAGGAAAGTTGTAAATGTTCATGTCTCCTGGCAAAGACCATACCAGATCAGTTTTATTATCAAGCAGAATCATTAGTAAAGCCATTGCTGTTATCAATTGCGCATCAACATTCTAAAGTCAGGCTGGCTGTTTTAGAGGTAGGCTGTAATTTTACCACAATTTATGTGGGGGTGCTGTGTAGACAGTATTCTACAGTGCAGACCGGTCCGGTACGGTACGGTACGGTACGGTACGGTATGGTACAGTACAATACAGAGGCTGGTTTTTACCGCAATTTACGTGGGGGTGCTGTGTTGATAGTATTCTACAGTACAGTACAGTACAGTACAGTACAGTACAGTACAGTACAGTACAGTACAGTACAGTACAGTACAGTACAGCCTCGCATAAGAGAACCAGTGGTTTAAGAACCACCCAGCCTGAAATTTGGGCAATTTTAAAAGCATCCAAAATGGAAGAACCACTTCAGGCTATCAAATGAAACTTGTTCTTAAAAAACTTTATTAAACTTTTAGCTGAATTAGCAAGCAGGTACTAGGAAGAAAATACTGTAATCTTGCTAGCATGAATTATGTCTTTCATCCACATCATCCATTTATTTTATCAAAATTAAATTCATTGTATACAATAAAAGGTTTAAAACTCTAAACCAAGAACAATTGTTTTTGACTGGAAATAGGAACCAGTTAAGAACCGTTTCAGCCTGATGTCTTTGTGAGAACCACTTTTTTTTCAATTGTTGAAGAATACGAATGTTCTCACCAAGACGTTTCACAAGCCATCCGTGTTGTATCGGATATAGAACACGGCCGCTCATGTTGTAAATACGTATATTTTATCTTGAAGCGATTCTTTGTTCAGACCGTAGGTGTTGTAATCCAAGGTGGTGATGGTAAAAATGTGGACAGTGTCCTGCCTCATATTGCTCAACGAACATTTGATGAAAATCCAGCTGTAAGGTCTATGGTGTCCACTGTGGTTGGAGGGTGGTTACTTGATCTCAGAGATAGGTACGTTCAGGGACGTAGCGAAGCATCTGAAGTTGGGGTGGTGTCGGAGGATTTTACCTGAAATTTGAACTTCAATGTTAAAAATTTACCTGAAATGTAATAATTATAATAGAGCTTTTTCTGATCGATTTCCACTGTCATACTAAGTTTCCGAAGAAAAGGGGGGTCTGGGGTCCTCCCCCTGCCGTTTTCTAAAGCAAATTCGCAAACGAATTGGATCTAAATTGACTGCATTTTACAAAAATGGTTATCTTATCATCTCACAAAAATAACGACTTTATTACGCAAATTTTACCTGAAAATGTCAAAATTTAAACTTGAATTTTACCTGATTTTTACCTGAGTTTCACAGTTGGGTGAGGGGGGTTACACCCCCACACTTTTGGTTACACTTTGGGAGACACTTACTGAAAGTAATACTGTAATAATGTGTGGGTGGGTGCTGATATACTATAGGCTGTAGTATATCTCGTATTGCTCAACGAATCCAACTGTGAGATTAATGGTGTCCACTGTGGTTAAGGGTGGTTGATTGATCTAAGAGATAGGTACGTTTTACTTTCGGAGAAATTTTATTGAAGGTAATAATGTGTGTAATGTGGTAAGGGGGTGTATGCTGGTAGTACTGTGGTCTATCTCATAATAAGCTTTTAGACGTTCTCTGGTTTTTAAATATTTTTATTACTACGAATTTTCCACTGGCAGTCTGCAGTCTTCAACGGGTGGATTACAATGACTGAAGATTACAATGACTGAAGATTACCGTTGAAGACTTCAGACTGGCAGTCGAAAGTTTGTAATAATAAATATTTAAAAACCAGAGAACGTCTAGAAACTTATTATGAATAATCCTGGTTTCGCTTCAAACATATTTAAAAATAAGTCTATCTCATATTGCTGAACTCGGACATTGGTTGAAAACTGAGCTGTGAGATTTATGGTGTCCATTGCAGTTGGACCTGCTGTTCTCCGTGATTGGGCATGGGTCATACGATGGCTGCCAGAGTCGCCCTTAAGCCTGGTTTCAATATGGTTGTAACTGTCGCGAACGTGTCGTGAAGTGTTTGTCGTGAATGATTTGTATGCTTTAAAGTTTGTTCGTTTACTGCAACCAGGTATATCAATCATGTTTCGCTCGCTACTCTGGTTTAAATAAATGATTACAAAGCCCAGTCGAATTGTAATCAAGACCCAACGTTTCGATTGCTTGTTTCCATAATATGGTTGTAACTGTCGTGACACTGTCACAAGTTAATTTCGTACCCAGGGATCGTACAAGCAGCTGGCGGCAGTTTTAAAAAGACAAACTGTTGCCACGATGTCGTTTTTCTGTTTTCATTAAAAAATAACCGTTACGACACGTTTTTAGCATGTCGCAACTGTTGTCGAGATCGAACTCGAGTCTATCTCGACGACACTGTTGTAACTGTCGTGAACTGTTGCCAGCGTGTCGCGACAAGACTTTTCTTCATGTTTCTATTTGGTCGCGAACACTTCTCTGACGACACTTACAACACGTTCGCGACAGTTAAGCCGGTTTTCCACTTCGCCCGTATCGTAGCGAAACGTACTGGTGAGCATGCGCAGATTGAAAAGAGATTTATAAATCCACGTACTTCCGGGTGTATTCGCGTATCAAAATAAAAAGTTCGTCGCAAGTCAATTTTTTTGACGTACTACGGAAGTACTAACCAATCAACATTCACGAAATTTTGAAATTTAAAACTTTTCGGTACGGTACGGTACGGGCGAAGTGGTGGAAAACCGTATGGAAATCAGACTTTAGAAAGCCTTTCGACTCGATCAGGTTGAGTTGAGCTTGCTCAATTTGATCCGAAAACTGACATCACCTCAACTTACGTTTAGTTTTGTGTTCTCCAGGTACTCTTATTTTCATAAGTTACTACCGTTGCTGCTGACAGGCTTGTCTGATGATATACAAGAGATCCAAAAGAAATCATCAGATTTGTTTGACAAGGTACTTAGTTCTTCAAATTTCGGCCAGTGGCCGACACTGGGGCTAGTAATATATGACCACCTTTCGTTGCTGAAAATCTTACTTCTTAAACCTTTTTTGCCTTAAATTTCATGCAATATGTAGCTTCATTCATTTTGAAAAATTATTGTTACAACTTTGTTACACAGTTATTGAGGTAATATTTCAAATGCGACTGTGAGGACTGGACTAGATTTCAAGTTCGCGCAATTTGATCAAAATGCGGATAATATAGCCTTGGAATCTAGAATGCGAGGACTTGAAATCTAGACCAGTCCGAATGGACCATTTGCATTATAGACTAAATTTTGATCTAGACAAAAATTTCATCACAGCTTGAAAGAGCATCACAAAATTAGTAATATTCCAAAGTTTCGCTGCGAAATGTTGTAAAATGCGGATAATATAGCCTTGCGAAATTTGCAATTTTCAGTCATTTTGTATTACAAACGGGAAATTGATGCGCCAACACCCGATTGGGCTGTCAATTTTCCGTGCGTAATACAAAATGACTGAAAAACGGCAAACTTCGCAAGGCTATATTATCCGCATTTTACAACATTTCGCAACGAAACGTCGGAATATTACTAATTTTGTGATGCTCTTTCAAGCTGTGATGAAATTGTTGTCTAGACTTGTCTAGATCAAAATTTAGTCTGTAATGCAAATGGTCCATTGGAGGATTTGAAATGACATCTCATGCGAATCACTATTTAATTAATTTTGATCCAGTCTTTTCAAAGACTGAATTAATTTTGATCCAGTTCTGGGACTAGATCAGTATACTTCACCAGGTATCCAGTATTATCATGTGAGCAAAATAAAGCAGTATGGTTGGCTAATTTACTCATGAATTGTTAATGAGTTTGAGATCTGTCATTCAACGACTTTCAGAATTTACTGATGAAGGAAGGAGGGTTGCCAATGTCTGCAAACTGCGGACATGAAAACTGAATTGCATGCGTCCGTGATTGTATCGTATATATAATTGCATTTTTTCCCAGTAACTTCGAAATTGCTCAAGACTAAAAACAAATTGTCGTTCTTCCAGGTTGGTCAACAATATGAAAAAGAGAACGAAGCAGATTTCAAAGATAAGCAAGACTTTCAAGTTTGGGACAAAAATGTCGGTATTGAAGGTTGGTGTATGATTTTGGACAGGGATGGACCAGCATGATCTGGTAGGGTAGGGGAGGGGAGGGGAGGGGAGGGGAGGGGGTGGGGTGCTCTGCCAGCTCTGACCAGTGCCAAGTTGTGTTCCACACCCCCAGTAAATCCATCCCTGATTGTGGATGTTAAAGAGTGACTGGAAGTGAGGTCCCAACGATTACGGTTAAGGATTATAGTCAGGACTGCGATTAAGATTAGGGTTAGATTTATATAAGATTAAGAGTTAGTACTGCAAGAAAAGTGCTGCCTCAAACTTGACGCTCTCGATAAATAGATCGGAAAAACGACTAGGCATATATACATTTCGAGATACATTGGGCTATTAGGTATAGGGTTAGGGTTAGGACTAGGATTATTAGGGCTAAGATTGGGGGTGCGATTAGGATTAGTATCAGGGTTAGGGTTGTATAAAAATTGAGGTTATTAATCGATATGGAAATCGACCAAAACAATTTCGGTCTAGATCGTAAATTCCACAACAACAATCTTTAAAAAAAAATTTTATACTCAGAAAATTACAAAAGAATCGTTTACAACAAAATTATTAACAAAAACACAAACACACAATAAATACAGAATGAATACACTCAGAAACGGATTAGTCTTAGATATATATTTGAAAAACAGTAGGTAGCCACTTTAACGTTAAGTCTTAAACCCATCAACGCGTATAAAATATTCATGAAAGTGTTGTCATGGTTATGAATTATTATGTGATATATATCTACTTCAGCATGTCATTCTGACCATATCATCTGCTGTCTATACTTGTTGTGTTCAGTTCCTCAGAAGAAGTCGATTCACGATGGAGTTCGTTCATTTTATCAACCTGATATTTATATTTACTTTGAACGTATTGTTCTTTTTCTCAGGGATATGTTTAAATTCCTTGGTCATACTCAGTTTCAGGAGATCTGCGCAACTTCGAAAGAAATTGTGTTATTTCATGATAATGGTTTTGTCGTGTTGCGATTTGCTCGTGGTTTTAACTAACAATCCACTCTTGGCCTCTGTCTCGATATTGTTGCTGACTGAAAAATTGGATGAATATCCCAGGTGGGCGGCTATTCCCATAACGTTAACAAATATTTTCTTTGGTTTTTCTTTACTCGCTCTTTTGGTGATGAATTTTGATCGATATTTGGCGACATATTATCCTATCTTTCATCGAACATCGGTAACGAAGGGAAAACTTTTAACTCTTCTGGCAATTCTGATTAGTGTCTTGCTTACTTTGACATTGATGTCTGCAAACGACTTTCTTATTTCCATCGCAGCTTGTGTTCTAATATTTTTTATTCTTGTCTTTCCTCCCATGGTGTTCATCAACTACAAATTATTTACAATCGCGAGGAAAAGTCGTAGAAACAATGGAATATCGCCCGAGATGAAGAAGACGTTTTCTTTGAAAAATATATCGAGTTGTTTGCTAGCAGTCGCTTGTTTTGTGGTGTTATCCATTCCGGCGTTTGTCTACTTTGGACTAAGAACAACAACGAGAGAGAAAAAATATATTTTGGATAACACACTCCTTACAGGACTCTGGGGTAAAACCATTGCTTCATTTAATTCAACATTTAACTGCTTAATCTTCTACTGGAAAAACAAGATTTTACGTACCGAGGGAATGAAAGTTATCAAAAACATGAAAATATATCGACGATTCCGATCCCAGTCAGACCATTAAGTATTCTTCGGCAAACTATTGAACCGTTGGCTTTCTCCGAGCACTCTGCATGGTTTTTTCATTACATTGCAATGGACCTCTTAGCTCTTGTGGGAACAATTTAGAACTGGTAGAGTTACCTATAGTATAAAGAAAATTCGTTTAGTTAAGGTTTCCTTTTCTGGTATCACTGGGCCACTGGCTCATTAATGAATGTCCTTACTGAACGTCAAGAAAAAACAATTTGGAATTGATAGACCTGTATAAATAAAGTTAGTTTCCTCCCGTAGTAACACTGGCCCCATTAATAAACGGTCCTTACTGAACCTTTAAAGCAAAGAACTTATGGCTGATAGAGCTTTCCAGTATAAATAAAGTCAGTTTAAGTATATTGAACAGTTTTTAGCCTAACACACGATCGACTTTTGTACTTGGCTTAGCGGTAGATGTGCTTAGACCTACATAAAAAATCACATGCACAAATCAATCTGAGATCGAGATTTAAAGTCATATATAGTTAAAGTTACAGTGAGTCGAAACATGTTTAGGTGGCTCAATACAGTTTTTTAAAAATTGAATTACGTTGACAGTTTTAAAAAAATAGCAAAGGCAGTTGCGTAACATTTGTGCAAAAATTCAAACTCTTTAGATGTTGTTTTATATCAGTAAGGTACTTTTTGTTTTTCAACATGTATAGCCTAATAATTATCCAACAATACGGATCTGAATCGTGAGTTTTCCAGTTTTTTAAAAAAGCTGTATTGAGCCACCTTAAATTGATTTGCGTGCCGTGTAAATAGGAATAATTTAAGTCTCATCCACTTGTACATAAATGTATATTGTGTCGTTGTCACAAGCGTACGAGTTGACATTTTAATATTAATGTTTACAATAGTCATAGAATGACAGATTCAAATTTGTTTCATTAAGTTCATATTGCATGCAGTAGAGTGATGAGTTTTCGATGTATCTTACAAATAATTAAATCCCAGAAATACTCGTAAATAGTTCTATGTATTTTTTAAATGTATCCTTTTAAGATTGACTTTACATTTAATGGCTGATTCCAGGTATGGACTAAATTTTGATCTAGGCAAGAAGATCAAAATCCATCACCATAGCTAGAAAGAGCATGTTAAAATTAGTAAAATTGCAAAGTTTGGTTGCGAAATGTTGTAAAATGCGGAAAACATATACCCCTGCGAAATGTGCAAATTTTGTATTAATTTGTATTACGCACTGGAAAATGCATCGCTTTCGGCCCAAATGTGGTCCATTTTCCCGCAGGTAATACAATTGACCATTTGCGTAACAGACTAAATTTTGAACTAAACAAGTCTAGACAAAAATTTCATCACAGCTTGAAAGAGCATCACAAAATTAGTAATATTCCAAAGTTTCGTTGCGAAATGTTGTAAAATGCGGAAAATATAGCCTTGCGAAATTTGCAATTTTCAGTCATTTTAGATTACAAACAGGAAATTGACAGCCCCAAACCCTTCGAGGCTGTCAATTTCCGGTTTGTAATCTAAAATGACTGAAAATTGCAAATTTCGCAAGGCTATATTTTCCGCATTTTACAACATTTTGCAACGAAACTTTGGAATATTACTAATTTTGTGATGCTCTTTCAAGCTGTAAGGAAATTTTTGTTGAGATCAAAATTTAGTCTATTACGCAAATGGTCAATTAATACAAAATTTTCAAATTTCGCAGGGCTATATTTTCCGCATTTTACACCATTTCGCGGCCAAACTTTGCAATTTTACGAATTTTAACATGCTCTTTCTAGCTGTGGTGGATGGATTTTGTTCTTCTTGCCTAGATCAAAATTTAGTCTTTAGCTGGAATGATGGAATCATCGATCCATTCCGCGTGTCTGTATAAGAGACGTGTTCCTTCTATTTACTTTCTATTCATCTGTCAATAAGCCCATGATAATGTCGGGCAATTTCCATCTTTTCCATTCCGCACTCTGCAAAAATTTTTTATAATCAATGAAACCTATAATCTTATACGTTGTCCCAGTATAGTGTTATAAAGATCATAGAATAGAAATGGAGCAGCCGGCGCCTGTCGAAATATACAGGTGGTATTTCCATAATAAATTACATTAGCGTTACTATGTTAGTTGTCATGGGATAATATTGTGTTTATGCTTGCCTATTTTGTCCAAAACGTCGATGACAATGGAGCTAAATGATTTTGTCAACTACACATTTATATTTATTGTGAACGTATTCTTCTTTTTCTCAGGAATATGTTTAAATACCTTGGTCATACTCAGTTTCCGGAGGTCTGTGCAACTTCGAAAGAAATTGTGTTATTTCATGATAATGGTTTTGTCCTGTTGCGATTTGCTCGTGGTTTTAACTAGCAATCCATTGTTGGCTCTTATCGCGATGTTATGGCTAACTGAAAGGTTGGATGCATTCACTTCGTGGATGGATGTTTCCTCAAGCTTGTCAAATATTTTCGTTGGCTTTTCTTTTCTCGCTCTTCTGGTGATGAATTTTGATCGATATTTGGCGACATCTTATCCTATCTTTCATCGCACGTCTGTGACAAAGGGAAGACTTTTAATTCTTCATGCAATACTAAGTGTTATCCAAGCAACTTTTGTGCTGTTATCTGTAAACGAATTCGTAATTTCCAACGCAGTTCTTGTGATAATTTCATTTGTTGTTCTATCTCCTCCGATGTTGTTCATCAACTACAAATTATTCATAGTCATCAGGAAAAGTCGTAAAAACAACAGAATATCGCCCCAGATGTCCTTGAGAAACCTATCGAGTTGCTTGCTGGCGGTCGCCTGTTTTGTGGTGCTATTGTGCATTCCAGCGTTCGTCTATGCTGTACTAAGGATAATATCGAAAAAGGAGGAACTTACTTTGGATAATGCAACAATTGCAGGATTCTGGAGTAAAAGCATAGTCTCGATGAATGGTACATTTAACTGCTTAATCTTTTACTGGAAAAACAAGATTTTACGCACCGAGGGAATGAAAATTATTAAAGGCATGAAAATATGTCGACGATTCCGATCACTGTCCGACCATTAAGTATTCTTCGGCAAACTATTGAACCGTTGGCTTTCTCCGAGCACTCTTGCAATGGACCTCTTGCAAGAGCAAGGTACTTGTTGAGGCATTACGCTTGCCTTTCAAGCTGAGAGACCCGTTGGTCGAACCTGATCTACTCATGCAAGATCTTAAAATAATTGAAGAGAAAGAGCTACCTATACATTGACATCAGTAAATGGTTATGGACTTTCGCCTCTTTCAACGAACTAAACTAAACTATCCAGTACGAATAAAGTTAGTTTAGTTAAGGTTTCCTTTTCTGGAATCACTGGGAACTGGCTCATTAATAAATAGCCACTTAACATCAAGAAAGAATAGTTTGGAACTGATAAGGCTATCAAGTATAAACAGAGTCAGTTTAGTGTAGGTTTTCTCCCATAGTAACACTGTCTCTATTAGTTAACAGTCCTTATTGAACCTTTAAAGCGAACAATTTACAACTGACAGAGCAAATAAAGTCAGTTTAGTTAATGAGAAGTTTTAGCCTAACACACGATCGACTTTTGTGTTTGATTTAGCGGTGAGATGAAACGTGTATGTCGCTGTATAATTAAAATATATTTTGAAATTGATTGACAATCTTTCATTTATATGTTAGAGTTGTTTTTCGAAACTGCATATACTAATAACTACCAAAAACAGGTGTTACATATATACACTATCAAAGTTTCTGTGATCAAAGTAGGAATTTTGCATGGGTAAATTCTAAATTTTGAAGGATTTGTAAAACAATATTTGAGAGAACTGACTCGTAGTTTAACAGTGAGTCAGTGGCCTCGAGCGTTTCTTAGAAATCCTTCAAATTTGTATTTGATCACAGAAACGTTGGTATAGAGATAGAAACCAGCCTTTACTTGAACTGCACAGCGCTGGACATTTGAACATTATTTCATTTGTAAAATGAATGGAAAGAAGAATTTTTCCTATTTGGAAGAAAAAAACTTTTCCTTTGCCCCCAGTGAAAACACCTTAAAAAGGCACTGAATCAGATATTTATCAAAGGATACATAAAAGTTTCCTTTGCCCCCAGTAAAAATTCCTTATAAAAAGGCACTGAATCATGCAGATATTTATGACAGGATGTAATATAATTCAAATCCGACCATGAAGGCTGGACTAGATCAAAATGTGAGAAATCTAGTCCAGTCCGATTTGGAGGATTTGCAATGACCTCTCATACGAATGAATCACTACTGAAAGTGAGGTGAATTAATTTTGATCCAGTCCAAGGATTAAATTAATTTTAATCCAGTCCTAGGATTGGATCAATATACTTTACCAGGTATCCAGTATTATCATGTGAGCAAAATAAAGCAATATGGTTGGTTAATTTATCATGGTTGGCTAATTTATCATTTATCATTTTACACCTTCCTCTAGGTAAGAGCAGGCCATGTCTGGGATGTCGAGCATTGATTGAACGGAATTTGTCAAAAATTCTACCTGCAATCTTGAGAGATATGACAGATTGGACTGCTGGCACCAGAATAAAGGTAATACTGCATGGTCTATCTATAAACTAAACTAAACTGGAGGGTACTCCGCAGGCCTCTCTATGGGTTTTAGCCTGGTAATTTTTTTTCAAAACCCATTCGCAGGTACTCGGACACTCGTTACTTCCGCCAGCGAATTAAGTTGTGCATCATGCAGAAATTCTACAATTCTATATTGCGCTAATTACATATTTAGTTTAATTAATCTGCCCGGCAAAGCAAGACGAAGTTTTGCTAATTTCTCATTCAATTTTCATCCTCATGTTTTATCAATTTGTCCTTCGTATTAAAACGTTTGATATTTTTAAAATTAAAATTGACCTTTCCCCAGGGGCCCTCCCCTGAATTTTCAGAGGAGGTGCAAAACGATCTCAGGAGAGGAGTGCACCTCCCCACACCTCCCATCCGGTCATGATCTATTCTAAACACTCACCAATGATTCTCTGTATTCAGGCAGCTTCGTTGTTATATCATATGTTATATTATGCTGAAGACAATGCCACCCAGCACATCGAAGCTTTGTTAGGAGGACTGTATAAAGGCTGTCGAGATGAGGAGAGCAGTGTGGTCAAAGAGGTATAATATTGCGAACTTAATATGCACGTTGTCGGCTTGGTTATTATTTGGAAGTAGTAGATCTTGACATACTCTATCAAGATATTATGATCTGGAAACTTAATAGAAGTCATTGTGTTTTGTCTGAGTTTATGTTAATTTGTGCATGGTCACGATGATTGAGCTCATTGTATTTTCATATAATGAAGTAATCGCCCACTATAGGGATAGCTGAGATGAAACGTGCAACCACGATGAGTAATATTTAATGAAGTTCAGACAAAGGATTTGTGTGTGGTGAGGTACAGTTCAACATCAAACAAAGGTCTTCTATTTTGTAGCTTTGAAGTTTGGCGGGTTTCCAGACCATCATATCTTGACACACTATGTTCTGTGATGTTATTAAGCATCTATGGAACGTTTCCGATTTTTACCGGACAGAATAATGTGTACTATGTACCCTTGAAACTCCTCATGAACGACAAGTTCACTTTGACTCTTTTGAATTCACAATGGCCCCACAATGTATACGTTCAGGGCAGGAAAGGGGAATTTTCTTCCTGGGAGCACAACCTGGAGACAAAAAATTCCTGCAGACCAACGGAGTATTTTTGTGCTAAATCTACATATGCATATAAACATATAGTGTTCTAGCTGACCATGGTTTTAAATTCAAGGAATAATGTCTGCATCAACCTATATGTTGTTGCACCAATAGTGGGACATCATGGGTGTTAAGGTTTCCTTCAAATTTTTAATAGCAAATCTTCATTCAAACGAATTTCCTGTTGTTTAACATTTCCGGCTGTTTAACATTTCCTGCGAGAAGTGCTCGCGTGCTCGCCTATTTTTTTCCACCCCTGTATACGTTACTATATTTTTGTTAGACTTCGTAGATTTGCACAATGGTTGACACTCGAATACTGCCTACATTTGTGAGATGTCATTTATGGTATAAACAATTAACTCGTGTATGTTTTCGTGTAAGGTTCTAGCAAGTGCTGAACTGGTAGGACAACACGTGGAACCTGCAGTGTACTTGAAACTTTGCCTTCCACATCTCACATCAGCTAGTACCACCTCAACTCAACAAACTGCAAGTGTTCTCAAAATATTGACAGCCACGGTGAAAGGAACTTCGGACGAGAGAATAAAGCCACATTTAAAGGTAAAATATTTTTTTCAATGATAATCGATGAAAAGGTTGGGATTAAGTATCACAGTGTATTACAGTGAAATGTAACAAGGATATAACGAACTCGACTACTGCCCCCCCCCCCCCTAAAATCAGTAGGTACCTGGACATCATCAGTATAATTGTACAATTAAGTTTGACCATCCCCAAACAAGAAGAAGCCCTTTTCGGTTCATTACTACGATCTCCTCGCATCAGGTTAAGTTCCGTCCTTCGCAATTCAGCTTATCCGACAGCTGCAAGTAAGCTGGGATGGATCCGGCATGATCTGGTAGGGGGGTGCTCTGCCAGCTCTGGTGCCGAGTTGTGTCGGTCATGTGTGCCGCCCGCCCATCAAATACTGTATTTGAATTGTAATTGTTGTTCACAGTTCGCATATGATCATGTTATTGCTCAAATTACTGTATCTCATTTTGTCTGTATTATTTCTTGCTGTATCATGAAAAATAGCATCCCCCTGTACCTCCTCTGGCCAGGGCTATGGTTGGTGCGATCATCATTACTTGCAGCTGAGAGCTAAGCTGAATTGCGAATGATGCAGCTCAACGTTCCTGATCCTGAAATGTTATTCCTGATCCTGAAATGTTATTCCTGATCCTGAAATGTTATTCCTGATCCTGAAATGTTATTCCTGATCCTGAAATGTTATTCCTGATCCTGAAATGTTATTCCTGATCCTGAAACGTAATCCAGTCGACTAAGGCTTGCTAAGGCCGCCTCTGCATGGCAGCCACCTTATGACTCATGTCTGATCATGGAGCACAGTTACTGTGGAAGGGTCAGTTAGTGGTAATCCCAACCCACCCTGTTCCCACCGGAGGAAAGTCACGACTTTTGGTAGAGCGTTGTCGGACTCTTTTCACATAAGTGTCATGAGTCCCCAGCGGGAATCGAACCCACGATCTCAGAGGTGAAATGCGCTTTCTCTGACGATTGTGCCACCGCAGTTATTTCTGTCCATGATTCTGTGTGTTTGTTATCAGGTTGTTTGTGATGCCGTAGTCATTCCAGATGTCTGTGATACAGAGAGCGCAGACAACCAAGAACAGTTATTGTGTTTGGTTGAAATAATCACGTCTAAATCCGGTGAACAATGTGCGCAATACAGTCTGCAGTTGTTTATCGTTGTTCTCCACCTTATGTCTTTACAACGAGAAGGAATGTTTGATGAAAAGGTAGGTGATGTGTTTTGTAAAGATTGGTTTACACTATCAAAGTTTCTGTGATCACAGTAGGAATTTTGCATAAATAAATTCTAAGTTTTAAAGGATTTGTAATAAATGTTTGAGGGAGTCAGTGTTAAACAGTGAGTCAGTTTCCTCCTTCGATATCACTAAAACACACACATATTTTTTGAAAAACTCTCAACCTACCTCCTAGGAAAATTTAAGGTGAAAACCTTTCCTCCCCCATTGGATATCCATACCTGTCAATATAGAGGAGGAGTAGTGCGCATATGAAATGAATGGCCCATTATTAAGACCGAAATTTGACGGATAAATTTTTATGACTGCGGCACTTTAACAGACCAGGCGATCTACTTTCTTTCTAGATTAGAAATTGCCTCAAGAATATAGCTGTTAACTTACAATTTGAAGGCGCAAGAGATCTTTATAAGCTTCATACGAAAGACGTTATTGAAAAACTAAAGGTATGTTTATCTATGTAACTCCAACGCGTAAAGGCGATCAATAAGAATGAGAATATGCACATCAAAATATTCAACTGTTCAATCATCATTTGAATATGCAGAAAGTTGCCCTAAGAACAATTAGTTTCTACATAGGTGATCATCTTTAAATTAGAAAATATACACAAAACAAAATATGCTAGCACAGAAGTCGAGATTTTTTGGTATCTCGTTGGATAGAGGAATTTTGTAGATGGAAATTGCGAACTGAAGATTATGTACAGTTTTAGAACAAACCAGGAGCAGTTGGGAAAAATACAACTATAAGCCCTCTGGCAAGAATCGAACCTGCAACTGAGCTGCAGAGTCCAGTTGTCGAGCTCTGACTGGGTGATGCCTGCATACGGTATAGCCTATGGGTAAATATCGAGCTTATTAGCCTAGTGGAAAACAGGCTTACCATGCCCCTTATTTTTTGTTCAGGAAAGTCATACATCATGGACAAGTCACTCCTCATCCAGATTATTGTTTAATACGCTACTGCTGAATGCGGGTCCTGTCGTTGGAACATTACTTTCAGATATCGTACCCATGGTCACAGTTTGCCTTAATCCAGAAAAAGACCCGGAGTTAAGGCTAAAGTAAGTTTGGTCATATTTCTCAACACTAGTGGTGTTCGAGGCACAGTGTTCAGTGCATATGCCTTTCAGATCTGTGACCGGGATGTGATTCATGCCACATCGGTCGCATGTGAGTAGAAAGCTTTTAAACTGGCTGTATCAAATATCGCAGAATTTTTCCAGACCAATAAAGAATACGGTCCTTATTGTTTTATCATCCTTCAGCAACATTGGGCCACCTATCCACCCCTACCACCTACCTAATAAGTGATACCACCTACCTTCCTACCCACCTACTTAATTCCTGCCCATCTGCCTCCCTACCTAATAAGGGATACCCACCTACGTTCCTACCCACCTAACTCCTTACCCACCTCCTCCCTACCTTCCCACCCACCTACTTCCCTACTTAATAAGGGATACCCACCTTCCTTCCTTCCTACCTCCCTACGTGGTAAGGGATACTCACTTACCTCCCTACATAAGGGATACTCACCTCCCTACATAATAAAGGATACCCACCTACCTCCTTCCCTTCCCATACACACCCATCTACTACCTCCCCACAAAAAGGGATAGAATCTCTTACTGGACCTTCATGGAGAACAGTTTAGAACTGCATGATATGAGGAACTGGTAGAACAATCCAGTCTGAATAAAGTCCGTTTAAATCTGGGTACTCCAGTTTCCTCTTCTGCAGTAACAGTGGAGGAGTTTGCCCTACTAACGCCTTGGGCCCTCATTCCAAGCTTTCGCTACATCTCAGAAAGCTAATACACCTTCTCGCAACTGGTGTTTAGGTTTTTCTCGTTGTTATCAAAACTATCAGTGGACTCTGCCAACACCATCAACTCCACAAGCGAGTTTCCACAGCATTCCCGGACAGTTCTCGTTGATTGTATAATACCAAATCTTGTGTGGAAAGCTGGAAGGTATGTTAGGACTCCCTCAGACCAAGTGACTTGACTTAGACTCACGCCAAGTGACCTGACTTAGACTCAGACTCATGATTTGTGATTTGACTTGGATTCAGACCAAATGATTTGTGATTTGTCTTGGATTCAGACCAAATGACTTGTGACTTGACTTGGTCTCAGACCAAATGACTTGTGACTTGACTTGGACTCAGACCAAATGACTTGTAATTTAACTTGGATTCAGACCAAATGATTTGTGACTTAACTTGGTCTCAGACCAAATGACTTGTGACTTGACTTAGCCTCAGACCAAATGATTTGTGACTTGACTTGGTCTCAGACCAAATGACTTGTGACCTGACTTAGACTCAGACCAAATGTTTTGTGGCATAAAATGTCTGGATTACGAACTAAATCATTATCCATGATGTATTTGTATTAACACGACTGTTGTAATTGATTCTCACTAGGGTAGCCATTGCTATACGTACGGCCGCAATATCTACTTTATGGGCAATACTTCATGCTGATCTGTTACCCGTCGAGACTTGCAATAGCACATTGAAAGATCTTTTGACGCAGGTAACTACTCGTTGTAAAAACTCGCAAGTTTTTGTTATTGTATTGTGATTTAAGTATTCAATCCGGTACCGTTTAACCAAAAGGTAATTTTGTATCGAGTTGGTTAGACAAAGCAAAACTGTTCATTTCTTGTTCATTTTTTTATCATGCAGATTATCTCGTGTCTGGATGATCACAGCCCAACAACGAGGTCAATTACCTCTCAAGTTTTAGAGAAATTATTGACGCTTTGCAAAGATCATTATAACGGTAGGTACGCACGTAAAAACACACAAGTTGCAACAAACCTGCAGCAGACTTGTAGCAATGCTGTTCCAACAACTTGTCAACAGGATGTGTTCGCACTGCTTGTTCCCAGCTTGTTGACAAGTTGTCAACGGCTTGTTGACAACTTGCTACTACACACGCAAAAATGTCGCATCTCGTAGCAAGTCTACCAACAAGCCAAGTCAGCACGTTGTGTTCGCATTGCTTGTCCCAAGTTGTCAACAAGTTTGGAACAAGCTGTTAGCAACTTGTAACAATTTTGATGGCATTATCAGACTTGTTGCAAGGTTGTTCCAACAAGTCCGAACAGTCATGACATAACAATATTGTTACAACCTCGTGTCGTCAACCTTGTAACATTCTTGTTATATCATGATTGTATATATGAGACTTGTTACAAGTTGTTCCAACAACTTGTTATCATCCTGGGGCCGGTTGTATAAAACTCTTAATCACTTTTTTAATCACTAGTTTGTAGTTAAATAGTGATTAACTCTCAAATACGCGCTTCTTATTGGATGACGTTTCCACTAACTATAGTTAACTTTAATCACTTTTTTATACAACCGGCCCCTGCAATTCAACGATTTGTCAACAAGTTGCGAGTGGTAACCTTGTACACATGTAAAAACGCACAAGTTGTTACAGGTCTGCAAACAAGTTGTTACAATTAGTCTACCAACAAGCCGTCAACAAGTTGTGTTCGCACTGCTTGTTTATTATAAGTAATATCATGAAATGAGGAGTATTAGTCATTAAACCACCCGCTCGACGAGGGTCATTTATTAAAATTCCCGAGGGCCGTAGGCCCGAGGGAATTTTAATAAATGACCCGAGTCGAGCGGGTGATTTAATGACTAATACTCCTCATTTCATGATATTACTTTGTAATATTATTTTTGCGTGAATTTCACCCAAATCAGTGTTCAGACACTGTCAATGATGTCGGCGGAGCGTTATAGTATGTCATAATTTTGTGACTGTAATTTTGCTCAAACTTTCCAGGTGATGTGGTAATACTAATACGACCCGTAGTGACGTCAACTGAGGTCGTATTAGTTCTAATACGACCTGTACATTTGAGTAGGCGAGTGAATTAGTTACTAATACAGCACAATAGAACAATAGAAATTCACGCAAACATGATATTACAGTTGTTGTAACAAGCTGTTAACAACTTGCAACAAGCTTGATGGCATTATCTGACTTGCTACAAGGTTGTTCTAACAAGTCTGATACAGTCATGATATAACAAGAATGCTACAAGGTTGACGACACAAGGTTGTAACAATATTGTTATATCATGACTGTATCGGACTTGTTGGAACAACCTTGCAACAAGTCTGATAATGCCATCAAGCTTGTTACAAGTTGTTAACAGCTTGTTCGAAACTTGTTGACAACTTGGGACAAGCAGTGCGAACACAATTTGTTGACGAACACAATTTGCTAAGATGTGAGATTTTTGCGTGTGTACACACGTACCTCTAGCGTATTCGAGAGTATGCTTATCGTATAAACCATAAGTCCGAATACGCACAAAATCTTTAAGCTTGCTAAAGGCCCTGTCACACTATTGCGTATCGTACTAGCGTATGCCAGCGTATGAAAAATATCACTCATACGCTGATACGCCGGTATACGCTGACATACGCCAGGGGTACGTTAGGCATAGGTTGTATACGTTTCAAGTACGGTCGCATACGGTGGTATACGCTGGCATACGGCGAGGCAGAAAATTTTTTTTGAGCATGTTCAAAAATTTTGTGCGTATCGGACGTATGCTTTATACGATAAGCATACTCTAGGCACACGCTGAATACGCTAGAGGTACGCCAGATGTACGGTACTCATACGCTGGCATTTAAAGGATTTTTGTGCGTATGAAAATTATTTCATTAATTTTCATACGCTTCTCATACGTTTCTCTCATACGCAATAGTGTGACAGGGCCTTTAAAAAAAGGTTTTGCCTCAGCGTATGCCACCGTATGCGACCGTGCTTGAAACGTATACAACCTATGCCTAACGCACCCCTAGCGTATGTCAGCGTTTTCCAGCGTATGAGTGATATTTTTCATACGCTGGCATACCCTAGCACGACACGCAATAGTGTGACAGGGCCTTTAACTACAGGCGCTTGGACCTTAAAATATCTGCCTTTTTGCTTGTGTGATGTTACTCTGTTACACAAGCATCTTATTCACCTGAGTACATTACACCAACACAGCAAAAATATCATCTGCCTTTTTGTTGCCATTTTTCAGTTGATCTCCTGCATTCACTGTATCCTGAACTATTGAAGAGAATGGATGATAGCAGCGATGAAATTAGGGTGTTTGTCACCAAAACATTATTGGCTTTCTTCAGGTATGATACGTTTCAAAGAACAGTTGACGTTTATATAGCTGCACTTCTGTTAATAATAAGAAATTACGGGAACCACTGAGTATTTTGATAAAATACCAAACAATAGATACTCCGAAAATTGAAAGCATTTTGAAAAAAAATGCATTTTGAAAAATGCTTTCAATTTTCGGAGTATCTATTGTTTTGTATTTTAATAAGAAATTGTTTTGTATGTTTATAGAGCTTTCCCGTCAGATTATGATAAAGATCTATATAAACTTCACCTTGAAGCGATGTTTAAAGGATTGTTGGTACATTTGGATGACTCTTCATCTCATATCCAGGTACCTTAAACAGAGGGCAATTCTATTTTGCCTTCATCTTGTGCCTCTAAGGCCAGTAGGTACATTTCTGTATGTCGGTGGCGTTTCAAATGTCTTGTGGGCTCCTTCGCAAAATGGAATTGCCCCCCGATATGGTGAGTTTTTATTCATTTTGTATCCTCTATCTGCCTGACTTTTTGTTTGTCTTTCCTAGGAAGGGGTACTGTTATGTTTAAAAGAGGCAAGTAATATCAGTCCCTCCATAATGAAGGAACAAGTCAAGCTGGTTCAACATAAACACAGAGTTTCAAGGTTTTTATATCTACTTATGCTATCATATACTGTACATGCAGTCGCTGCTCTAGGTACACAGTCACGTAAAAATCTCACATCTTGTAGCAAGTCTGCCAACAAGTCGTCAACAAGTTGTGTTCGCACTGCTTGTCCCAAGTTATCAACAAGTTTGGAACAAGCTGTTAACAATTTGTACCAACATTGTTGATATTATCAGGCTTGTTACAAGATTGTTCCAACAAGTCCGATACAGTCATGATATAACAATATTGTTACAACCTTGTGTGGTCAACCTTGTAGCATTCTTGTTCATCATGACTGTATCAGACTTGTTAGAACAACCTTGTGACAAGTCTGATAATGCCATCAAGCTTGTTACAAGCTGTGATCTCACCTACACACGTAAAAACGCACAAGTTGTTACAAGTCTGTTCGCAAGCTGTCAACAAGTTGTGCTCGCACTGCTTGTTCCCAGTTTGTTGTAACAAGTTTGAAACAAGCTGTTAACAACTTGTAACAAGCTTGATGGCATTATCAGCCTTGTTACAAGATTGTGCTAACAAGTTTGTTACAGCCATGATATAACAAGGTTGCACGCGTAAAAACGCACAGCTTGTAACAAGTCTGCAAACAAGTTGTTACAAGTCTGTTCACAAGCTGTCAACAAGTTGTGCTCGCACTGCTTGTTCCAGTTTGTTGTAACAAGTTTGGAACAAGCTGTTAACAACTTGTAACAAGCTTGATGGCATTATCAGCCTTGTTACAAGTTTGCTCTAACATGTTTGTTACAGCCATGTTATAACAAGGATGTTACAATCATGTTATACCAAGCATGTCACAGACTTGTCAGAAGAACCTTGCAACAAGTCTGATAATTTCGACAAGGTTGTTACAAGTTGTCAACAAGTTGTTCCAAACCTGTTGACAACTTGTGATAAGCAGTGCGAATACATCTTGTTAACAGCTTGTGAACAGACTTGTAACAAACTTGTGCGTTTTTACATGTGTAGCCAGGCTGGCTCGTTTCTGATATGAACACAAATTAAATTTTGCATGCGTTAAGGTGGCTCCCTACAGTTGTAAAGAAACAGCAGCGAAAAATAAGGTCTTCACAATGACGCAATGTATTTGCTATTGATGTGAGATGGGGATTTTTTTGGAAGTAGAAACGCTTACGTAATCTTTATACTTCAAGCATAATCGTTCGAAAGAAGCAAATTGGGTGTTGCTATGGTAACAATGTGGCGTAAGCGACAGCAGACAAAGATCAAATTTTGGACTAAAAATGAATGTATTAAAATTTGCTTCGGTCAAAGTTTCTGAAATTTTGTTGGTATAAAGGGAATATCTAGCGGGAGATTAATCAAAAAATTAGACAGGGTTATAAATTCAGTTTTTGAGATATTACGCAAACTTTATTCCACAAAAACGGTTTATAGAATTTTTTAAAAATTGAGTATATTGCAATAAATGACTAGTACTTTTAAAATACAAAATTTCAGAAAAACTAAATGAAGGGAAAAAAGTTATTGCATTGCAAACCTTGCGCGGTCAAATTAAATTTTTGCTGACGTGAATTTCGTTACCAGTCCCATGCTTAAAAACTGTAGGGAGCCACTTTAACAAAGGACATGCAGATCTCACACTGCAGGTGAGTTTCCCCCGGTTAGCTGGGCATCATGTGAACACACAGGCCCTATAAGGCGTATTTCTCTGTTTCAGATATTGCGACGAACTGCTACAATATATTAACAATACTACCACACCTTGATCATCAAAGACACCATAGAGTGTAGTCGACTTTGCCTTTGAGTCATCGCGTGCATTGTTCCTTCTGGGAAAATGCTGCAATTTGAATCCATCGTCACCACAACACAATCACGTGTTCCACGTGGAAAATGCCCAGCCTGGCGAGCCAAGTGCTTGTGAAGTGGAAATTACTTTGGCATTTCACGATTTGTATCCTTTACAGACCTGTTTGTATGGAGGCGAGTTACCCGGCAAGGCATCTCGCTCGCGGCCGGTTTACAAAAGCTTTATCCAGTGCACCTCTATAAATTCTGGACATTTAATACCCACAGGAAAATTTTTCCATATATGGGTTTTGAATGGTTTTTAAAGATTTAGCATGTATATTATCAATGTAAAAACTGAACTCTTACCATTGTAGGTTGTTATAGGTTTCCCATATGGTAAATTGGTAAAAACCATGATGTTTAATATTTAACAAATATAAAACATGTTCCGTGTTGATATATAGTTATATCAACACGAGTAGAAATTGGGAAAACGAGAAATTGTGTGGAAACACGACGCCCGAAGGGCGGAGTGTTTTCACACAATTTCGTCGAGTTTTCCCAATTTCCACGAGTGTTGATATAACTATATATCAATACGGAAAAAATGTTTTATATTTGTTTTATAATATAGCACAAAGAAACATAAAGAAAGAAATTTTCCGACGTTTCCGTGTTGACATCGAGTTATATCAACATGGCTCTTAGCCAATCAGCGTTCAGAATTTACAAATGCTATATTATAATTACCAATAATGGTGTGTTCCTGTGCACAGGAACAATTAAAGTATCATTAATGGTAAATATTAAACATGTTTTTTTACTAATTTACAATATGGAGAATCTGTAATAACCAGTAATGGTAAGAGTTCGTATAGAGAGCGTTTACACATGACGTCACAGCCGCCATGTTGGTGTTCCAATTCAAAAGAATTTTAATTAGACTCTTTTGTCTGGAACACCAACATAGCCGCCATTGCTTTTGTTGAGTTGGTCCCTGGGGAATGAGTGCAAACGATCTATATGGTGTTGACACCCAGGCCTTTACCTCAAACAATCCAGTTTACATTGTAAATATCACTCCAGCAAAACACAAATCCTATTTTTACAAAGATTCAAATTTTGCAATATCGTTGGGTTAATATGTCACGAATGAACATTATTGTTGAAACTGACAATTAATATTGATCTATATTGTTTCATCAACATTAATTGTTTATATAACATAATAATTAAACAACATACTTTCGGAAGCAAAACAACATGGAATCTAAACAAGAAACCGAAGAGTTTATTAAAAAAACATAATGAAATATCTAAACCACATTCAAGTGATGTATACGTTATTTTAAATGCCGGAAATTGTTCGGCGCGTGTTCGGAACGCCGTCGTAATTATTGATTAAGTATTCAAAATGGCGATGCAAAAATAAACACTTGTAAGTGAAAAATAAATTGGTAAATGGAAGTTTTTTACTGGCGTGCTTCCTTGCCAAAACTTTAAACAAGTACACAGTAATTGTGCTCAGCCATATATTACACAGGATGGGGAAAGGAGCCTTCACTACTTTCACTCCTGCTCGAAACCTCCTCGGAATTATTCATATTGTCAACAAAATCCTTACTATAATCCACCATCTTTCTACAAGCTTCGATATCGAGTAGCGCTCGCTTTAACGCTATCGTACTTTGATTATTAAACATCTGTAAGTACTGTTGTCTTCGGGATATCTCTTTATGCATATCAGTGAAATCTCCACCATTGCTTGAATTATCCCTTCTTGTACCTTGCAAACCCACGTTACTCTGTGATAGATCTCCCTGTTTATCCATAGCTACCGTATCAAAGTCGCCTGATACCCTACGAGAACCACCGCCATTATTCGACACATGATCATGTTTATCCATAGCTACCCTACCAATGTCCCCCGAAATCCTATGAAATCCACCATTATCCATAGCACATTCCCTAACTATAAGTTCCAATTTTTTATTTTCACTTTCTAAAAGCATATCTTGCTCGTCGTGAAGGCTTTCTATGGTGTCGATAAGTTCATAGGCTTGCGTTCGTATCTCTTGCGTGTTTTGGTCATTTCTCAAGCGACTTTTCCATTCCAACACAAGATTTCGTAATTCTATCTGGATGTCCTCTTTCTTGCCCAGTAGCACACGAAACGTTTTGACAAAATTTGTGAAGTCAACTGGGTCCACGATGACCTATACAAAATAAACAATTCCTCAACTCTTTCTGGCTCAGAACAGAGTAATTTTACCCATTCCTCAGCTCTCTTTGGCTTAGAACAGCGCGATTTTGCCCATTTCGAAGTTGAAAAGTGCAATGGGAAAGCTCTCCATCGTAAATCTGGGCCGTATGCACAAGGATTATGAGAATTAAATCGTTCAGACTAAATACGACAAACACTGTGTGTTCTCATTGCCCTTTTAGCGCGTAGAGTTTAAGGTTAAATGTTTAGAGTTTCGAAGGGCAACCTTTTCTGAATTAGCTGTATATAATGGTCAAAGTCAATATATAGGGAATATTGTTACGAGAAAGCTGTGGATTGACTGTAATGTAGGGATACAACTACCTGAAAAATACAAGGAGAACTTCGACGTTTCGAACTAAGGCATCGGGAAGTTAGTTTCCTCTACAAAGACGTTAATGGACCATTTGCATTATAGACTAAATTTTGATCTAAACAAGTCTAGACAAAAATGTCATCACAGCTTGAAAGAGCATCACAAAATTAGTAATAATCCAAAGTTTCGTTGCGAAATGTTGTAAAATGCGGATAATATAGCCTTGCGAAGTTTGCCGTTTTTCAGTCATTTTGTATTACGCACGGGAAATTGGCAGCCCAATCGGGTGTTGGGGCATCAATTTCCCGTTTGTAATACAAAATGACTGAAAATTTCGCAAGGCTATATTATCCGCATTTTACAACATTTCGCAACGAAACTTTGGAATATTACTAATTTTGTGATGCTCTTTCAAGCTGTGATGAAATTTTTGTCTAGATCAAAATTTAGTATATAATGCAAATGGTCCATTTTCTACTAAAGCCCTGGGCAAATTAGGAAACATTGTTGCGGAAACATTGTTTCCTGCCAATGTTTCGCCATGTTTCCCAAGGTGGGCAAACACTAGGAAACAATGTTTCCGCAACAAAAATCGCACTTGCATGGGAAACATGAAATGTTTCCGAATTTGATAGGAAACATTTCTGCTTCTCGGGAAGCAAATTGTGTTTCTGCAACGATGTTTCCACGGGTGGGCAAACACAGAAACACTTGCGGAAACATCGAGAATCACAATGTTTCCGCAACAATGTTTCCTAGTTTGCCCAAGGCTCAACTTATCGACGAAGCGCCTTCTTACGAAACGTCGGAGTTCTCCTTGTATTTTTCAGGTAGTTGTATCCCTATCCATCCGAAGCTTTCTTCCGTTCGAGATTAATATTGTTATGAAATGTATCGCTATTTTAATTCTTCTTTATTCGTTTCAAGATACCAAGTACGTGCTTTGACTGGCATCCGAAACAGGTGGCCCATTCGGTTATATGCAAATGACTTGAGTTTGTTTGCATTTCGAATCAACGAGCTTCAAAATTTAAAACATAACTCTCCGAAATCGTATTAACTATATTGTAAAAGAAGACTGGTTTTCCAATGTTAAATTGCATGTTAAAAAAGCATTTTTATTAGTATACGCTCAATAAATTTCTAAGCTGATATCTGAACATGATTAATATAAATTGTGACTTTAAAACAGACTCACTACACAACTTGGCAGTGCGGTTTCCTTTGAAATATACAAAGTTTAACTATTCGACTTTAAACTAAGCTTTGAGGCAAAAGTGAGATATAATTATACTTTTTTTCTTTATATTAAATAAGTTTTGGCCTTCCTCAATAACTTTTACCAACGTTTCGGCGTATGTCAAAATGACAAAATCAGTATCAGACATGCATTGTCGGCCGAAGTTTATTCCTTGAAAAATTTTATCTAAAGTTTAAATGAAAATATGTAGTTTCATTACCTCATTGCTTTCATTAATGCGATACAACTTTTGCGATTTCGTTAATTCGTTGCTGCTGTTAGTAATGGACAGGAATATACCCATTATATAGCATTCAAATGCAATACGCTTCAAATTCTACATAGACATAAACAAATTTAAAATTGCAGTTTTTTGCATAAATTAAGCCCGTTGTATATATTTACGGCAGCTGGTTGTTCCGTGTTGCGATCGACAACGTTGCAGACACACCTTTGTAAGTTTTCAATCTGGAAAAAATATAGGAAATACGGTTTCCTGATTTGCTCACCTTTGGGAAACATGGCTATAGGAAATAGTGTTTCCTGGTATGCCCACCTTTGGGAAAGATGGCCAGGAAACAATGTCACCTGGTTTGCCCACCTTTGGGAAACATGGCTAGGAAACTTTCCTGGTTTGTCCACCTTTAGGAAAGATGGCTAGGAAACAATGTTTCCGGGTTTGCCACCTTTGGGAAAGATGGCCAGGAAACAATGTTACCTGGTTTGCCCACCTTTGGGAAACATGGCTAGGAAACAATGTTTCCTGGTTTGTCCACCTTAAGGAAAGATGGCTAGGAAACAATGTGAAAACATTGCTAGGAAACAATGTTTCCTGGTTTGTCCACCTTTAGGGAAGATGGCTAGGAAACAATGTTTCCTGGTTTGTCCACCTTTAGGAAAGATGGCTAGGAAACAATGTTTCCGGGTTTGTCCACCTTTAGAAAAGATGGTTAGGAAACAATGTGAAAACATGGTTAGGAAACAATGTTTCCTGGTTTGTCCACCTTTAGGGAAGATGGCTAGGAAACAATGTTTCCTGGTTTGTCCACCTTAAGGAAAGATGGCTAGGAAACAATGTTTCCGGGTTTGTCCACCTTTAGGAAAGATGGTTAGGAAACAATGTGAAAACATGGTTAGGAAACAATGTTTCCTGGTTTGTCCACCTTTAGGGAAGATGGCTAGGAAACAATGTTTCCTGGTTTGTCCACCTTAAGGAAAGATGGCTAGGAAACAATGTTTCCTGGTTTGTCCACCTTTAGGGAAGATGGCTAGGAAACAATGTTTCCTGGTTTGCCCATCTTTGGAAGACATGGCTAGGAAACAATGTTTAACAATTATAAACATTGCCAACAATGTCCAAACGTAACAAAATTTATTGCAAGTCACAATTCCCTATATATTCACTTGTAAAAGAGCCATAGTTTTCATAGTTTCTCTCCTATTTGAAAGCAATTTCAAAATTATTGTTTTCCAAAATGATCAAGATATCAATGAGCTATTTTGACAACCAGCATTCGATGCATCAGGGCGCGGTGTCTTTATTACAGGTGGCAGTGGAGTATAAACGCTTGAAATATATTAATATGCTTATTGCAAGCATGTTGTATATACTTTCTACATGTTTAAACGTACACCGTTCGAATTCAAGACTACAGCTGAAACTGCCATGGACGAAATTGATGGCCATTAGAAGATAGAAATTATTTCAATGTAAGTATAAAAGCAAATCTTTAATCGGCTCTCAATTTTAAATAAGTTCCGTATGACAACTCTTGTCCACGCAAGTGAAACTTCCATATATGTATCGATGTGTCATAGAATTATAGGAGTAATTTTCACATATGAAATCCATGGACCTATTTGGTTCACACATTGCAAAAAGTCCCTGAGAATTTTCATTCAAAAACTTTTAAGTTTTAATTAAAAGTAAAATAACGCATCCAGAGTCACTCCACAATTTTGAGTAAAATTAATCGAATATATGAGTGAATTTATTCAATTTTTTTGGACCTTGTAAATAAACAGCCCCTAAACTGAAAGTCCTCTCTTCTTGATCGAGTGTTATACCACAGCTTTATTTAGGCTGCAGTACTAGATAACGCTATTAACTCCGCATGTTTGAACCGTTCTCCATTATACACAATTACAATATCCTATATATATTAAATTTTCAAAACTAGTTAACAATGGAAATCTCACAATTTAACGTTGATTTATGTACCTTATATATAGTTGTTGTCAAATATGGGTTCCTCTTCAAGTAGCGAAAACGTTCGGGAGGAAAAGCCTAGACCAGTGAATCGTCATTTTGATCGTGATGCAGCCAGACTGAGACACTATTATCAACAGGTATAAGTCTTATCTTGAGTTTATAGCAAAAGATGCCTTCGAACTTTGTGTTTAAAAGTATCGTAAGATCTGTGGAGGCTTTACAAAGCTTCGATAATTTCTCCTTCTGTTCGCCTATATTTAACACACGTAAATTGTAAAATTTAAGGGTTGTTTACATGATCCCTGTTCGCCAGGACGGGACGGAAGGCGGGATGATTTTGATGTTTTTTCTGTGTTGGTGTAATGTACTCAGGTGAATATGATGCTTCTGATGTTACTCTGAGTGTATATCCACACCGGGCAAGCTTGAAAAATATGCCTGACCACGGTGGGAATCGAACCTACGACCTTTGGAATACTAGCCCAATCCACTTAGTCTACCCAGTTAACCAATCAGATCCACTTAGTCTACCCAGTTAACCAATCAGATGCGCTTAGTCTACCCAGTTAACCAATCAGATCCACTTGATCTACCCAGTTAATCAATCAGATGCACTTAGTCTACCCAGTTAACCAATCAGATGCGCTTAGTCTACCCAGTTAACCAATCAGATGCGCTTAGTCTACCCAGTTAACCAAGATCCAGTCCAAGGCCCTTCCAACATGATTATTATTAGATAACATTGATATCGAAGGAACTAGATTCTGTTCCGAAATATCACATACTCGAACCGACCAGACCGCGTAGCTCAGTTGGCAGAGCATTGGGCTAGTATTCCAAAGGTCGTAGGTTCGATTCCCACCG